GTTCTGTCTGTGTTCATGGATCCTATGGGGTACTGACGATTTGGCCAATTAATGAGCAAGAGTTTTTAGAATCTATTTTGGCTTTTGGTAAAGTAAAAAACTTCAGCTCATTCTGCACACTTGGTCAGAGCTTGGTTATTCACAAGAATCACAGGTGGAAACATAACTCAGCGTGTGTCTTTAAAAATATACATTTGGTGGATGAATCACTAACATTCTTTCTGCAAATACTGTTTACCGACCAAGGACATATTTATATGAAAATTCACCTTAACAGGTAAATGCAAAGAACACAAGAGCTCTTTATAAAAACTGTTGATAAGACATGATAGTAAAGACACCACAATGGGCTTTGGACCAGCCTAGGATCTATCAAATCACGCACCACTAACCACACCAATGCTTCCGTAGACTAATAAATTGCACTAGGTTGATACTGTCATTCCATTTTAAGTTGCCACTGCTATAGTGGGGTTACATGTGACTTTGAGCTCATAATCTGTTTTATTTTTCTGTATAAATGATTATATGGGAGACATCTCTGGGAGTAGGGTACGAACTGAGCGTGTCAACCACGGCGCCATTCCAGAAAGTTCTACGTGATCTGCAGATTGAACGGGAAGCTGAGGTGCTGAAAGGGACTCCCCTGAACTCGCTGCTCTGTTCATTAGATGGATGTCTTTGTTTTGGCCTAGTTAATTCATCTAATTTGTAGTCAACTTTCATCTTATGCAGTGGAACATGGGGCCTACTCTCTATGGAATATTGTTAACCAGGAAATGACTTTGGGCCTCCTTACAAGGGTCGACGAAAAGGTCACACTACTTGAGTAGTGAGTTGTTTGAGCTAAAATGGTGCTCTAATGTAATATGTCATTTAGATGCGATGAGGGGGGATACTGCTGTGACACAGGGGTGCCAATAAGGTTCATCTGAGGAAAAATCCATTCAGAAGAGAAACTGTGAAGGAATACTCAGAAAAATGCAAAGATCACTCCCTGTAACTCTGCAGGAATTGAGATGACATGTACGTGGATGAGAAAACAGTCCGCTTAAGTGGACATTAAAGACTGCAGTCTATCCCAGGAATTGACAGGAGGGCTGGGATATTCCAAGGACAGCATTCCAGGGAAGGACAGGGCACTGAGAGGCACGTATATATAATTACTAAAGAGATAAGCAAAGAGCAAACCATGTCCATTTGTTTAACATTAATATACGCCGGTGCCTCATTTTCTTCTCAACCATTAAAGGATCTGGTGGCGCTGGTACAATCATTTGAGAGATTTGCATTGACAGTAGTGTTAATTATCTGAGCGGCACTGAGCTCTTTGTCTGAGATCATCGCCACCTAACTTGTTGAGTCTGAAATCAGTCAAACACGCTTAACATTCCCGACCGCTGAGAAACCATAAAGCGGGATCGTCCTCTACTACAAACCAGCTCTCCGGACAGCAAAGAAAACGTCTCCTCGTCTAGGATGCCGCCAGATCCTAATGTTAATGTTTGTTCATTAAAGCCTGTTCAACCATTGCAAGTGCGCATATTTGATTGTCAAGAGCTTTTTTTAATGTTCAGTCATTCCGAAAGTTCAGATTTTCTAAAATATTTAACCAGTACTCGCCGTACACAAGTAGCCTAATATTTATTTTAATAAGTAACTAGTGTAATTTTACATGGTGATAAGAAATAGAATATATGTACAAATTTTAGCTTAAATTTCAGTTATTTTATGACGTCAGTTATAAAATGAAAACACAAAAAAACGAGAAATGTATAACGAAGTACAAATATATAAGAAATAAAAACCTATTAACTATATACGTATGAAGAGACTTCATTCCCTACACTCAAACGTAGTTTTAAGCGTCTGTTAAACGTTAACGTCCTTTCTGTCATGCTTTATTTAGCTATCCATTACTTTTGTTGGAGTTAAGAATTTTTGTGTTTGGGTTAATTTTATTTAAAAAGCTGTAATAATTATTTTAAAAGTCTAAAAAGTGATACTATAATTAGCTTCATAGTTATTACCTCCGGGAAAAATCAAAGACAATGATACCAGTAAAGATTTATCGAGTGGCTCCAGTAAACGTGACTTTAACTTTCAGCTACAATAATCCGAATAATCAGAATAAATCACGGCAGACTATCGGTGTTTACCTTTGAAAATGTTACCATACGACAAAAATTTACAGCATCTCTATCTACTCGATAATATCACAACCGGCATAAAATTTCCATACTTGAAACAAATCGCACTGGTACACACTAAGTGAAAACGTACAAACTGACCTTTTCTTCCTTCCTCGGCAGTGAGGACAGTTAACGAGCCGCTAGGGGTCCCGATCCGCGATCGTCCATGTGGATCTGAACGCCAGAACCTCCTCTGGGTATTTATGAGGTCTGAGCCTCGCTGTATTGACCCAGTCCCGTACCGTGCAACCCAGAGCAGGAGACGCTCCGCCTGCAAATGCAGCGCAAAGCCCCCGAAGGGCAACAGCCGTCAGCCTGCGAGATCCTCACCCTCCTTTGTACCACCGTATTCACTTAACCCTCAAATTCCCTATGTACAAGACAGCGTTCCATTATGTTCATGCCCAAAATCGCGACTTTGATCGAATCAACGGCGCACCGAACGTGTTATGACTACAAAGCACCCGTTAAGAAATGTTATTACTATTTGTGATTATGTATTTAATTTCTTCATATATAATGTTACTTATTATATAATTTGTTACATTATTATATACTTTTAGACAACCAGAAAAACCCAGGCACGTTTCATCCGTATTACGTACAAAAATATTATTTAAATAGCTGTCGATTATAGGAACATAATCGTGCATTTACCGAACTTTTATTTACTTTCCCCATTCCGGTTGCGCCTGTAGCCATACTTGGAAATATACACAGAACCGCTATACTGATAGGCCTTCTGGAAGATACCAGTATCCAGATTTACATTCCTGGTAGCTGGACCCAACAACATGTCTAGGAGTAGCCTTGACCGTGTCCTAGTTTATAGGAATTCAAAATGTAAGACGCCATAGAGAATAAGAATTGCATGGCTTGCAGATACTCAAGCATATAATTCCTGTTAATAAAAAATATCAATGTTAGTACCTGAAAATAATAATTATGTCAATGATAATCAGCAACAGCATGCTAATGAATGTTATGAATAGCAGATATAAGGTACTGACTAGAACCAACATAGAGGCCGGTTCAGTGCACAGCCCATTCAGGATCTTAAGTGCGGCACTTGCAAGTTACAAATTACTCTTTCTGCAGTGTGTAATTCCCTCTCATTTGGTTGTCCATGGACATGCATGAGACATTATCCAGACGTTGAGCCATAAACCAGTGCAACGTCATGAACCCATTCCTATGGGAAACCCAACCAAGGATTCAGAGAGCCGTTCCTCTCCCCTCGTCTTTCACGTCTCTTGCTTCCAGCTGCATTGCTGTAAAACATCTTGGGCTCCTCGGGCAACATCTACTTTTCTTCCCAGACTCTGGTTCTGTTTCTTCATAGCCGGATTAGTCACTTGGCTACCAACTTTGTTCAGATGGCTGGAGTGAGATTTTTAATTTGAGACAAGTCTGCACACGCATTTACATGCATTAAACAGTTTTATTACATTGTAAACAGGCTGTAGGGTTTGCAAACTGCTTCCACGTTTTTGATGTAGATAATTTTAGGTTTATAGTGGAATAATATAGATTTGCTGTAAGATTTCCTGCATTAGCAGGAGAACCTGAAAGCGTGTGTGTCGCAATGCAAATATACATGATTCTCATTTATCCACCATTTAATTTCGGTGGATTGACCTGCATCCTCCTGGGTCACATAGTACAAGACATGATCTATCCTCCTACCCCTTGTGTCCAGCACCGGGTCTCTGTGGTAGCCTGCACCAGGCAGCACTGAGCACAAGGAACAGATCAGCAAGTACTAGTGTGTGTATAACGGGTAAGATCAGGACTCTGCCCTTCCTCTGTACATTCCACTTGTATAGGTTCGTTTTGAACCTGCTTTCAGTCCTGTGCAAAAGTCGTAGGCAGTCAAAGAAAATGTTAAAAGCTATTTATCTGTGAAGTAAGTGTATATTTGCTCACATAATTTGACATTAGAAGGTATACAAATTAACAGCAACACAATAAAAACTGACAAGAATTTCTTCTGTTCCTCAAAAAGTTACTGGTCTAGTCAGACGGTTAGATGATCACCGCTTCAGTTCCCAAACATATACTTAGGGGCACCTCAGCCATTCCATGTATTCATCAAATTTCACACCAGCTCAATGAATCAATTAACGTAAGTAGTTAAATGACTCAATGAGGTATTGATTGGCCAAATATGTTGTGCTTGTGGTCAAGTAAAAAGAAATATATGGGTGTTTTGCATGGTTACTGCAAATGCTGGGGTGACTTTAGGAGAAGTTTAAAATGGCTAAACTGACACACTGTGACAGGCATCATCTCATCGTTTTACACAAACAAGACGACCATTTAAACGTCATTTTCTTTGGCTGCCTAAGACATTTGCACACCACTGTATATGTATATTTATATTACACATACATTAAAAAAATATTTATCCAACATTTTACAAAATGTCATTCACATTTTTTTTTTGCATTTTACTTGACAGAAAGACAATGTATGTTTGTATAGGTCCACATTTTTTAGGTTTTAAAAATGTTACAGGATTGTTGTTCTTTCACACGCCAAACTCAGAACTAAAAACTAAAGCATAAGGATCAAGTAATCCCTTACAGTAAGTATTTCAGGAAATTTCACAGCTGGTACCCATTGCTGCAACATGTTGTTAAGAGTATTTTGGATCATTAAGGAATCAGGAGTCAAGTAGTTAATGACTAATGAGAGGCTGCAAATACAGGAAGGCAGAGAGTGCGGGTAGATAATTAGCTTTAATTCAAGATTCAAGCACTTTTTCATTGCATAACACAACAAAATTACATTTATGACAACCCCACAGGTGCATTAATAAATACAAAATGAATACAAAATAGAAGCTAAAAATAATATATTAATGGCAAAAGCTGGTGATGAACCAATTCCTATTTGTAACTTTTATATCAGATTCAATGGAGGAAACTTATATGAAACAATGAGAGAAAGAAAATTCCAATGCTGAACTAAAGTATTACACAATACCAAGTAACTACTGAGGTAATAGATGCTGTGCATTTTCCGTATTGTGGCTCAATGGTGCCCCCTGGTGTTAGAATCTTGCTGCTATCCTAAAAGTTACAAATTATCCTGTCCACTTCTTTTACACTCTATCTTCTCTGTTTTGGTACCACAGAGGCACTGAATACAGACAACTCATAATCAAAACTAAAGACTTGAACCAAATGATCAATGACATTACTGTCTGAATATCACATTATGTAAAATAGTGTTTTCGTCAAGCAATTTCAGTGCAAATCAGGCATCATATTATGAAACCTGTGACACTACAGCATCGGTGCTACCAAACATAACTTAACAGTGATTCATAATACTGTTTCTCATCTGGTGTTAAGGCTACCCAAGTATGCGTCTTTATGCCAGCTCCGAATCCCAGCATGCATCATTTCAGAGCCGCTGATGGGGGCCGGACATCAGAACCCAAAGAGCCTACAGGAGAGATCCGGGGTGGCGTCTGGAGCTGCTGCTTGAATTTAGTTCTAAGAGAAGCAGTTTTATCAAACTGCAAAGTGATGTTGAGAAAAAAAATAACTGAGCACTGAGAGTTATAGACATAGTTTGGCTATGCCAGCCTTCAAAACAATACTTAACAAAGAAGCTCAACTGATTATTCACTAATTCCTAAAATGAAATTAAATGTTTTCAGCTCAAATGATGAGTTTGTTGTGGGAGTTTTTGTGTAGATATAAAACAGCTGAAGGGTTGAGGGTTTGAATCTTGCATCCACTCTGTGCGTTTGTAGACTTCTCAGTTTCCTCCTGCATTCAAAAGACTTGCATTTGGAGTGATTATCACATCCAAAATGGCTCTAGTGAGTGAGGCCGTAGGTGCCCTTTTGTTAAACTGGCATCCCATCTATTATGTACCACTGCCTTCTGCCCTCTGTTAGCTAGGATATGCTGCAGGTGCACAGCAGCCCTATCCAGGATAAACATCTGGAAAATAGATGGATATAAAAATGTCATCTTTGACTATATACTCTTCTTTTAAATGTCGTGTATATTTGTATGCTATGCATATAAATGCATTATGCAATTTACATATGTAACTAAAACTCTTCCACTAATAAAATACTTTCAATGTTATCCCCCTGCATTGACTATATTATTCATTGTGTAATTTTCAAAGGTTGTGTGTCTAATACTAAAGATGTTCATTATGTTTGTAACACTCTCAGTGTAAATAACATTTTACACATCCGTATTTTTAAAATGAAGGAGACATTTCCGGATACAATGCGGTCGAAAAGGTCTGAGCTGTATTCCTTCAAAAAATGAAACAGGAGCGCTGTCTCTGCCGGGAAAAAAGGCATCCCTGAAAAAGTGATGTGGCCAGGACAGTGTACCACAACTATTATTAGGCGCTGTCAAGTCAACTCCTGCCGACCTTATCGACGTCACTCCTCCACAATGTCCGTTGTTCTGTCTCGGTCTTCAGCCATCCCCAAGGCACAGGACAGTGTACGCTAATCATATTCAGCAGTATACATAAACGAACTGAGAAACTAAGTCCAAAACTTCAGAGAACTTTTAAGGCAGCTTGTTTAAAGCGAGATCGCTTGCTATAATTCCTGATTATTTTAAGTGGACCAGCTGATGCCGCTCCTCCTTGCGTTTTAAACAGCATACGTTCAAAAACAATCCATGCGAAGAACAAAGAAACAGCGGCGTGTGCGCCTGCGCACTGGTGCACAAGTACCCACAGGTTCCGGCGTCAGTTACCCGTAGGGGGAGTATTGCAGAATTTTGGCACGCGAAACCAGAGATTCCCGAATGTAAAAATCAGTGTCTTCGGCATCTGCGAGCCGAGCGTTTCCGGAATCAGCCGATGTTCTCCGAACCGTCCGTCCTGCCGGACTGCTGGAGGCGGCCGCAACGCCATGTTGAGCGAAATCTCTCTTCACACTGAAAGGGAACTTTTGAAATAACACTTTATTGAAACTGAAAATTACAAAATCGAAGTAGGGAGGGGGACGCTGGTGACATTCCTTCGGACAGCAAAGCCGAACCCGGATCCGTGGAAGCCCCCATCGGGGAGGGGGAGAGACAACCCCCCGCCGTCCTCATGAAGACTGAACCCCAATAAACGTAGCTAGCTAGCTAGCTAACTAGCTAGCTTGTGTTGCATTAAAAGGGCATTTTATTCGTATCCCGGCTTGCCACCGGGAGCCGATAAGGCCTAGTCCGGGAAGATTCTTGTTCGCTGTATATTAGCTCACTCGCTAGCTAGTTAGCTAGCTAATGTATTTGTTATTTTTAGGCGTCTGTGGTAAAAGTTAGCTTATTATCATTATTGTATATACTTAGCTGAAGATCACGTTTAATTTTTTTGCAATGAGTTTGCCGCCGAAAGCGGTACCGAAGTCAGCCGCCCCCGCCGTAGGAAGTGGACCGGGAACCGGCCCGTCTCCGCCGAGCTTGCTGCGGGGCACCCTGAACCCTGTGCCGCTGCCAGGACCCCCAGTAGCCCAGCAGCCGCCCTCGGTGCCGCCGCCGCAGTATCCTTCAGATAAGATGACGGGAAATGAAATACCCTGTGCTCTGCTTTTCAGATTCCCGGTGATGATGCGAGGTAAAAACAAGCCTTTATGCCGCCGCCGAGACCCACCTGCCTACACTAGCATGCTAAGTGTGTAGCTTGTGCTTAGCTAGACCGTGTAGTGCTAAAGAGCTTCGCTGTCGGGGACATTTGCGTTTTAAATGGACGCCTTGTTTTCTTAAGATGAATTACCTAGTGACACAGCTTAATTTTGGTACTCGGGAAACTTATTAAGGTATTTTCGGGGATAGTCGCGTACCAAATTAGCCGGTGAGCTAACTGGCTACGTTTGCCAATTACTGGTTATGTTTAGCCGGCTGAACTTGACCGTTTTTCAGAGGGTTGGCGATCGGCTTGTGCGACATGGGTTGAAGCGTGAAATCTCCGTCCGAGATATTTTTTAAATAGAGCTGTCCGTTGTTCAAACATCTCGGACGGAGGCTTTCTGGCTGGCTAAGGTTAGTTAGCAGCGCTAGCCGACTGTTTGATTTGAGTGTGTGAGAGCCGTGCCACGGTGTCAGGCGCCCCCCCTCCCAAAGCATCGTCTTGTTTTTTGGCTGCACTGGTCTTATACACTAGAAAAAGGTTTGGCCCCGTGTTTGGAAGGTAGTTTCTTAGGGATCGGGACCAAGGTCTTTTTTTTGGGTTGCTTGCAGTGTAATGCACTAATTTCAGTCTCAGAGAGCAAGGCAGCACGATGTGTTTCGCAAATTAAAAGTAATTTAGTAATGCATAGTTTGTATCTACATTCAGCGTTGTGAATCTCCTGGATAGCTAGGTAGTACTATGCAGTCAGTGTAATACACTAATTGTTATCAAGTATGTTGATTAGTATAATTGAGACACATTTAAGTTTAATGCACATTCTTAAATAAGACATTTCATTTCTCTAAAGTGCCAGTTATTTGCATGCATCTCACCCTGTAGCATCAGTTGTGCGAATTTTGTTATGCGTGGTTTTTGTCCTAATGCCAACACAAAATGCATTAGTTTTATTAATAGTTTAGAGTTATGGACACAGTTATTGATATTACCTTAGAGTAGTCATCACGGTTTCCACTGGATGCATTTTGAAGAGAATCTTGAGGCATTTTGTAATTCAGCAGTTTGATGAATCTGTCAGTTTTTTGATAAAATGCTGCCGTTTGGGCAGGTTTTGCAGGTGTCGCTTTAAATTCTGAGTTGAAAGCAGTGCTTATATCAGTATTGTACACAAGTGAAAATAATTGCATAATCTATTTAAAAAATGATTTATCTAAGAAGGTAATGTACCTGTAAGAAGATGAAGCCAATTCTCTGGGTGTCAGTGATGAGTGGCATTATGGATGTTGTTCTGGACTGGTGAAACTTTAAAAAGAAAATGCCTTCAGGTTTGAACCACTGCAGTGGCATTAATCTGTTGGCATCCACCAAAAACAGGTTTGGAAATGCATCATACACCTGGCAGTGATGTGCTCAGCTGAAGTGCTTAATAAATAATCAGTTATAGGATATGTGTTGGCTCTGTCTGTTGATTGTATGTAGAACTTTGCTTTCTTGAAGCTGTCCAGCTGCTTTCTGCTCCAGCTCTCTTGAATTAGGCTTATACAGTGAGAAGGATGTTTTTTTAGTCATCTTCTTGTATTGATTTTTGATTAACCATGCTTTTTCATCTGGTTAATTTTATACTTTGCCAGACTTTTGTTTGTTTTGTTTAATTCTAATGTAACACTTCAGCTGGAGTCAAAAGCGTGACACACTGAAGGCAATTCCAAGGTTAGATGGTGCGTCACCCTGTCATTTAGACTTTTTATTTTTCTGCTCATGGTTATGATTCATAAGGAGTCAGTCGCAGTAAAAACTGAAGATTTGATTTTCTGCGTAGAGTGCAGTATCAGCAGATTGTCTGCCTGAGAATGGCAGATGGGGAATTTAGCTGAGAGTTTGGGGCGGCAGCCGGCTGCCATGTCCGTGCATATGTGCAGGACCTGCTCCACAGGTACACACTCAAAACACATTCAAATCCCGAGGCAGAAACACATGCAGTCGTGTAATAAAAGATGCCGGAAAATGATTACTGTGCAGAACAGCTTGGGAACAAATTTCATTAAAGTATTATTTATGTATTAATTTTACTCTTGTCCTCCCCTTAGTCAGGAAAGTCCAAAACTTGCTTGCATTCCAGTCTTTTAGCAGTTGGTTTCACTTTCACAGGGGATGAGAAGTGTGTCAACTCCCTCTATGGCAGTGCTGTTCCTGTTCTGGGAATTCGACGTGTTCCTATCAGAAAGTGACAAGGCCCTCTGGCCCCTCTGTCAGCCTATCGCCAACTCATGTAATTGAAATAGGGTGGGAATTTCCCCAGTGTGCTTACAGTCACTGTTTGCTGCTCTTAGTCCTGCTTCTATTTCCCACTGAAAGAGAAACCAAAAAATCAGCATCTGGTGGCCTGGTTTTTCTAGTTTTTGAATAAATCTGGGACTGTGTTTTGAGTGGTCTTTGCAATTTTTGTGACAAATGAACACAAGGTAATGTGTTTAAGAACTATATCGGTTATAATATTTATATTTGCAGTGGAATTTTTCCCCTTGAAAAGTGAGCCAGAGGTTTACTGCCTGTATTTTGTTTCAATGGGTGTTTTGTCCACTTTAGTAATGAGAGCTGAGCTGCCAATGGTGGAAGAGATTTCAGCTGAAGATCTCACACTGGTGCTGTCTTAGTGCAGGCTACACTTTGATAAATTACACAGTAGAAAATGATGGAACTCTTCTGATTCTTGTTTGACATCAGCCAATGTGCTTTATGTGCTTTCACTGTTTTGCTTAAGTACATTTACCTCTTATTAATATTTCTGTTCATTTCTTCCCCTGCTAAATCAGAAACATTTTAGCCATATAGGCTTATGCTCTCCTTGTGTAGTAATAAGCTGTACCTGTTGGACAATACATAACAATGTGATGAGAATTTTGTATAACCGAGAGCTCTGGACTAACCGGATTGGCCATTTCTGCCACTCTGTGTCGTCAGAAACTGTTGCTGTCTTAATGATCTCACTGCTTTTTACACTGTTGAATGCAGAGATGATTTTAGCCTCCCTCCCCCCCTTTGCATCTCCCTCACTTAATTTTATATTAACCCTTTATTAGCTAATTTAAGCAAACCAGAATTTTAAGTCAGCACAAACTGTAACGATACAGCAAACAGATGTTGTTCTGTAGTGGGGCGTCTGTGATGCATCTGAGGATCATCCAGCGAAAGCTTCATTGAGCTTCCATACTTTCCAACCACTAGTTATTAAAATGTATCCTAAGATCTACAAATAACATTTTCCGCAGGGACTGTTTCTGTATATCATTGTTTTAAATAACCACACCGCAGAAGCATCGTCTCTAGCCATTTGCCTGTCATGCTTAAAAAAAGTCAATTTAAACTTGCAGTTCACTAATCTTTATATAGAACTTGACAATTTACATATTAGTAGGCTTTTTGAAATTTAGTTTTTCTAATAGCGTTTCATACATAGAATTTATGCATCTAGTGCTATGTTTCATCTAATTTGTTGCTTTACTTTTTTGGTAGTATTTACTGTAGTGTGAAATGGTTTTTGTTTTCATATAACGGATCTGCAATGTCTGATTTAATTGAATTTAAGGAAGATTACTGTATGGAAAACAGGAAAAAATACTTTCTAGGTTTCCTAAACCTCTGTGTATACATAAAAAGGCAATTTATTTAGCAGCTTAGTTTTTGTGTGTAATTAGCTTCCAGCTGTTGAAAGTTACAATACTGCTGACTTGAAACTAATTTTAATCGACACCTCATTCACACCTAAAAAACAGGTGAGGTTGGTTACTATCTGGGTAATTACTAAAAGAAGCTGATATTGAGTGAACACACGTGCATCTGGCTCCAGAAGACTGCAGATTCTTCCCATATCATTGTCTTTACTCTTCCCTGGAATATGAGATTCCTCTTGTTTCATGCACCTCCTGCCCTTCTGCATTTTATGGGTCCGTCTTAACAGCAGTGAAGCTAAGTCACATGACATGCATTCCTCACTGTAAGACACTCGCATAATATGGTTATGGGCACATCTTCTGGTCAGCATCACAATTCAGATGGAAGCTTAGTATTCAATTTTTTTGGGGTGGGGTGTGTTCATGGAAGCCTCCTCACAGGGCAGTGGACAGTGAATGGTTTTCACATCTACATTAGGTCTTATCTAGAGACCCTCTCTATGCCTGAGTTTAGGCTAGCGGTCTTAGGCTAGTCTGATGGAGCTCCCAGCTGTACTGGGTCCTCCTGCTAGCTCTGATTCTTTGTACCAGTGCCCCCCCTCTCTGAGCCAGAGCTTGCAGTGTTNGGAGCTCCCAGCTGTACTGGGTCCTCCTGCTAGCTCTGATTCTTTGTACCAGTGCCCCCCCTCTCTGAGCCAGAGCTTGCAGTGTTAGTCTGATGAAGCTCCCAGCTGTACTGGGTCCTCCTGCTAGCTCTGATTCTTTGTACCAGTGCCCCCCCTCTCTGAGCCAGAGCTTGCAGTGTTAGTCTGATGAGACTCCCAGCTGGGGTTTGTTCCCGCCACTGGAGGAGGGGGCAGGGCTGCTGGTGGTTGCCAGGGAAACGTGCTGCACATATGGCTTCCGCGGTGTTCTGCAGACAATGGCTGTGCTGCTTAGCATGCAGGGTGGGAGGCTGTGGGGGGGGTCCTTCCCACAGACGGCTAACAATGGCTGGGAAGGCTAATTCTCGTGCCTACCAGTTGAAGTTGGGACAAGGAGGATCCCTTTCAAGTATTCACATCTGTGTTCGCGCATGCATCTTGTAGTTTTTCTGGCAAGGTTTAATGCTGGCCTTTGTGTTCATTTTGACTTTGGTATTTTATTTCCATGTGGAGCAATGTAAAGCCCAGCAATCATGGGTTGAATCTTCCATTCTGCAGAGTAATTAAATTGACATCAGGCCCTTGAGCAAGGCTCTTAA